CTATATGTATATATATATATATATATATATATATATATGTTTTTATGGTAATATATATATATATATACTATTGAAATTTGAAATATTAAAATGTATTTATAATAACAAAAATCTAAAATACAATTTAGTACATTAAAATATATTAACTTTAAATGTAATATCAAATAATGCATTTCAAATTATAATCAAGTACTTTGCATGTGCTTTAGTCAACACATCAGAATAAGTGTAAACGATTATTAAACATATGATTTAAATGTATTTTAAAGTTACAAAGTGCACTTCTAAAAGTGTGTTAGGAAACATGAAAGTGTCGTTTTTATTTATTTATTTGTAAATACACTTTTACGATTTGAAGTACACATTCAGTAGAATGAAGCATGCTTCTTTTTCACAAGCGGTTTGCAACAAAAGTTTTTTTTCCTAAAAACAAGGACAAAGTTGACTGCAGAACCTTCATTCAGGAGCCATCGAGGGTTAGTGCATGTGAAATAAGTTTATTAAGAAAACAAATGCACTGTATAAACGTCACATATCTGCGGTCTTTATGATGCATTTCATGAGACTCTGAATACAGGCTTGAGAGAATAAGAGCCAATGATGTCCTGGAGAGAAGTATCTACAAACTAGAAAAGACAAACAATGCTGACAAAGCCTTTTTTAGATTTTACAAATCCTTTAAGTTTGAAGGTTATATAGCAATGCATCTGAATATTACTGAAATGCCAAATCTAATCATTCTGGCTTATAATCTCCAGGGAAACACGTTTACAAACTGTAAATTAATACAGCATGTGTGTATTAAATAATTATGCAACTAAATCAAACGTGAATGAAGTTGAGTCGTGTGTCGCTAGATGGCAGCATAACGTCTGCAGCAGATTTATTAACGCGCTCTCCTCCTGAATAAACCACACTTCTGACTTCTCTCTTTTAACAAAGACACCAGCTCATCAGTGTAACGTGTGCGAGATCAAACGTGTTATATATGTGATCAGGGAGAGGGGACTAGTGTGTTTGTAAATGCCAGTTAAGAGATAAAAGAGCTGTGTGTGCATCAGGCATCTAATCTTGTAAAGTAGTCTGCTGTGCCAAGAGTGTAATGGGGATTTGGCTGGATTTTGAGAGATCCTATTGCTCTGACTGTCTAAACAGGATTTCACTTTGGAGACTGATGACCCAGAGCACATTCATTACAGCCTCGTATGTCTAAAGACAAAAAAAAACATGCTACGCAAATATCTGAAAAAATTCACATGACCTTGTCCTTCACTTACACAAGTTTGGTCTACAATGAGTGATGTGGTTCTATTCTATTCTATTCTATTCTATTGCACAATTACTGTATAATTATAATTTTTCATGCTAACTCACACTTTGGGTTTACTATCTATCTATCTATCTATCTATCTATCATCTATCTATCTATCTATCTATCTATCTATTATATATCTATCATCTATCATCTA